TTTAATAAGTGAAGTAGACGGAGGAGGGGGTTGCTGAAGAGCAGCAGAGTAGGATAGAGAAGAGGAAACAGCACTAGCAGAAGTTGTATTAGTTGAAAACATGTTTATTGACTCTTTAAACGGGGCAGTAGAAAGGAAAAAAAAGTCAGTAATCAATTGTTAATTGCTTTGGAGCAAAGAAGAAGTAATTCTATTTCTTATCAATTAGTTAACACTTAAAAACGGAGAAGATTGAGTGGGTGAGATGGTAAAAAATTACCAGAAGGTTTTGTTTAGAAAAAACAATAAAAGTTTAGATTTAAAATTGAAAGAATCAACACTTGCTTTTGCTAAGATATCAGAAGAAGTAGAAAAAGTTGTAAAAGAAATTGCTGAGTTAGAGGAAAAGTATAATCCTCAAGTTCTTCAAGAACAAATTGGTTTAGAAAATAAGGTTGCTATTACTATCACTGTTGAAAAACTAAAAGATGATTTGAGAACTCTGAATGCAGGTGGTCGATAAATTTTTAGATCTTACTATATTAAGAAGAGTAATGAAGACTGTGCAAAAGTAATTTATACACCTAATGCTCCAAAAACAATAGATTATTATGGTTTACTTATCAAAACGGATTATAATGGGAATAGTAATCCTTATACTCATTCTCTTTATTTGTGCAATGATTTACTAGTACTTAATTACAAGGATTAAAAAATCTATCAATCTTTGTTTTTTTGAGTTTATTTCTTGCACTGCTAAGTTTTTTTTAAACTAATTAACTCGTTTAGGAAGGATAAACTTACTTCAATTTTGCTTTGTTGTCAGTAAGATTTTTTCTTTTAGATTTATTTTTGTCATTCTTACTTTTTTCGAACATTAACATGGAGACACCTTTTTGTCAGTCTTACTTCTTTTCGAACGTGGAGACAAGGTGCCTAAAGGTCATGCATTATAATAATAGGTTTTCTACTTACCTTTTCTGTTTTGTTAATGTCATTAAGAATTAATTCTTATGCTTAAGTATAAGCAGACGAATGAGATAAGTATTGTACTAATATTAATGAAAACTTAAAATGTAGAGCTTAATAAACCAAAAAGGAGATGTGTGTCACTCAAATTTGCGTACGACTGTCATATATTAAATGTCAGTATATCGCGATACTTTATTAAGATTTGTCCAATAAGCCTTTCCCAAAAATGTCGTTATACTGTTATAACGAAAATTTATATATAATGTCGTGTCGTTACATCGAATAAATTTCATTATATAGATTTTTTGTTCCAGGATTTTTGTCAGTAAAACGAGATGTCGTTATGTAGCAGTGTCGTTATCGAGACGCACTTGTTACAAGTACCCGCACAAAAAAAATCAACAGAAAAGAAGATAACAGTTGAAGAAAGGAATTAATGCTAAAAGACAATTTTTGTTTTTATTACATGGAATGAGTGCGGTAAGTAAAATACAACAATGCAAGCTAATATCATTTTCTGACTTATCACTCCTTTCACCCACTAATTGGACATGCAAAATTAAAATTTTCCAGTTGGCCATTATCATTCAACCGGGAAAACAGAACCTTACGAGAGCCGACAATGACTACCAGGAAGGCGGAAACATGTCCCTGACTGCGCATATCAGCAACTTGCGGTCCATTCCAATAACTCGCCAACTGAGCGGCTGGCCCTCCTGGGAGCGTAATCCAACGAATTATAGAGTTTCCAGCTCGGATAATATCCCAAGAGCCAAATAGAATTTGTAGTACATCATCTGCACTCGAATAGCCTTCTAGAGTCGACGCTTTCCGAAGGCGATCGGCTCCCGCAATATTCAGAAAATCGATCTTAATCACCTTAAATTCGATGATTATTGTGTTGCTTGTGCTTGGTATTTCGATAACCAAATCTATCTGTCCGTTATCGCCATTGACCTATGGGAATACGTGAACAAAGTTATCGTTAAATTAAATAACGCAATTTTTTTGCATTCTTGCCTTTTTGACTTTGAACTCTACATGTCCTTGTAGAAGTGGATTCCTGAGAAGTGTGTAGTAGATGCTATCACGGTGGTGCTCTTCATTCTTGTCGAAGTCACTGTAATCAACGTCACGCTGGCTCATTAACCTTTCATAACAACCCAATAATTGTGAAATATCACCAGTAGTTGCAATTTTCCGAAGACCCTCCTCAATATCCATTACGCGCAGCTGGTAACGATCCAAAACAGCCATGGCGAAGCGTTGAACTTGAACTAAGTTGGGAATTTGTAACTGCTTCCCAGGCTCTTCTTTGGCATACGTTAGACCCCCGGCATAGCGCATAAAACTTAGCCATGCTTCTTTGTTCCTTGTGGCATCCTTCTTCTCAGAATATTCAAGTGGCAACAAAACATAAATATTCTTGCCATCAAAGAAGCCAAAATTAGGTACATAGTAATAGTACAAGACATTTCACATACCAAATCGGAGAACCGGAATTGTAATGGCAATGTGTCATATTTGATTGGATTATGCCAGAGATCAGAATCAAATGCTGAATTACGGCCACCAACCTTTTCAAGGATGTCAGTTGCAATAGGTGAGCAAGCAAGCATCTGGAGCAAAGTTTCAGATGTTTCCCAATTGGAAGGGTTGCTTGGATTGATTGGCTCATTCATTAGCAACGTCTAATACATCAAGTTGCAGCAAGATGAAGTAAGAATATAGCAACAATGACAAGCAAAAACTATGATACTGAGAAACCTTTGTATATGTAGCTTGTCACTTACCTGAAGATACTCTAAGCATGTGTTTGTATTAAAGACACGCTGGGCTGCAGTATATGGTGAGAAACTGTAACCATTATAGTGCTGTACCATGATACGGAAGTGTTTCTCAACATCTCCATTTTTGCAGAAAGCCTTCAAAGCGGAACGCACGTCACCATAACTGAGGCCACAGAACCCAGCTAGTTCTTCTTCATCAGAAACATTTGTCGCGATATTAAAACCACTAGTAGCACCATCCAGTGAGAGTGGCAACACTCCTGTAATAAAACATTTTATAATCCTCTGGTAGCCCATTGAAGACTTTACACATGCCCAGAAGTCCTTAAGTGAGGACTGCCCTTTGTGAATATTGTCATAGCTTGTGGTGTTATTGAGATTTAAGTACTCATTGGCAGAGGCATCATATTCATCAGCTAGGAGGTATATCTATAAGCAAGGCATGTTTTCAGCATGAGTAATGACTGCAATTAATCACAGTGAGTTTGTTACTATATAGTTACCCCCTTCACACCAGTGAGTTGGTGATTGATGACACCTTCAGCTGTTCGGAGTGCAAATTGGACAACATTGACACATCGATTAAGACTATCAATAGCATTATTCTGGTTGATAAGTGGTCAGTTGGTAAACTGTTGAATCTGCTTGATTGCTTCATTCAGATAAACTGCATATGTGGTGTAGAACTTTCCAATAGCCCTGTTAATCATATTGAAGAGTCCAGCTTTGGCAATCTTGGGATCAGGATCGCGGTTAAAAGCAGAAAAATCGAGAGACAAAACAAGGTACTGGTAGGGTATGACAGTGCCGGCTTGGACATACTGGTCAATAGCAAGGCCCTACAAAAAATGGAGCAGGAGCGATTTAGCAATGGACAAAACAAAAAGAGAAAAAGAAGAATGCTATTGCTATTAACCTTGAAGAGGTTATCATAATGCTTGCGGTGTTCTACCCCATGGAAGTATGCAAGCATACTAAGTGTCAGGGACTTGCCGAACCGGCGCGGCCTTAAGAAGAGTAGCACATTTTCTTCGAAAGAACTGAGCACTGATATGTATCCAGTACGGTCGAAGTAAGCGAACTCAGGATCCACGCGGAGCTGTAAAAAGTCAGATTTGTCGTTTTGAGGGAATGCCAATTTCGAGCCATTGAACACTAGTGTTGATGTATTCGAAACATTTTCAGCGCTTTCTTGAGATTCCACTGAAAATTCTTCATCAAGGAAATCTGCAAGGAACAAGTCAAACAAAAAAATATTAGTGAACAATGAACAGAAAAAGTGTAAGCTTGAGATGTTGGAATGCGGTGCAAGATAGCATTGTGAAAGTTGTGCTCTAACATACCCGCCGAGTATAAACAGGTATTTAAAACCTTTGGGGCAATCCAGCCTTGAACGTGCTCGTCAAGCTTCCCCCAAAACCTGCCAGGAGGGTTTTCAGTAACTTCAATCAGCGCGCCAGGGCTGAACGAAAGATAACCAGGACTCAACGCGCTGTAACCTCGGTCCGCTAGAAAAAAACGGGAGGGGTTTTGCATGTTTGATTGCATCTTGAGAGGCGCACAAATGGTAAACATGCGTAGCGCGTAGAGGCTGGTTTTTTTCCGGGCCCGTGACGTCAGATTACTTTGAATGGTTTCGTTGGAGCACGCCCCAAATAAGGTTTTCCTTTGTAAAAATTTACTAACGAGAAAAGAAGCGCGTCTCAGGTCAGTCATATGTTGAAAAACAATAACCAGTTTTTAAAACTTACTTTGCGCCAACGCATTCGACTCTAATATTGCAAGTACTGGACAAAGGCATCACGCGCGAAGCATATAAGCGGGGGGGGGGGAGGAGAGATTGTTTCAATAATCGAATGGGTTTTGTCAAATTCTGATAACTACCTTCCCCAATTTTTATATGCCAAGTATTTGGCATGTTTGCTTTTAGATCAACTATGTGAGCTACAAGCGGATTATCAATAACAGTATATTATCGATCAAGTCGATCTGATCACACAAATCATTATAATCCCGACCATCTCATGTGATTTTTAATCGGTTTATTTTTCCTCTTTAACATATCATCAGCTGAAAGTGTGCATCTTTGTGTAACAGGCTTGTATGTCATCTGCTTTATTTAGACATTTTAATGGTTCTTTTGGTTAGCTGTGTCTACCTTTTCTGTTAATGATCGACGGCAAACCATTCTTATATCTATATTCTATATCTATATATTAATATATATATGGTGCAGGACGTCTATACTCGACGATCACGTGATTTTTTTCAATTTTAATTGACCAATAGTATCGTATCGTAATATGATTACATCTTATTCTTGTTCTTTAAAGCCCTATAACT